TTTATATGTTACACCCTTACCGTTTCCGTATCCTGTAATTTTAAAAATTATCGTTTCAAGTCCCCGTATCCATCCCCATATCCATCCCTGTATCAGTATCAATGCAATATAGATATTCGATTTCAGGCTGATGATGGATCCCGTTCTTACGTACATCGAATAAACGCAGTCTTCCTCATCCTGCGTCCAAGAAAAAAAAAATAGAGATAGTTAGAGATGGGGATGAAGGCGGAAGTGCAACGGTGGAGAAAGAGAGGAGGATGAAGAAGAAAGAGAATACCAGCTGCGTTCCGACCGCCATTGCGTTCAAACTTTTTTAGGCTCTCCATTATAGTACTACATTGTTTGACTATAAATAAATGCTTAGGGCACGTGATTTTATTACTCTTTTCAAGATTATTACTTTCTGTTATGTTTTTTTATATGTTTAAATATTTTTCTTTAACCAGCAAAAAAAAATTACAAAATCAGAATAAATAATATTTTTCTTTAATAGTGAATTAAAGAAAGAGCATGACAAAACATGAATTAAAGATAACTGATATATATATATAATGTGAAAAATAAATGTACTTATTTATTTAATTGGATAAAGCAGTGAATAAAATTTATAAAGTATTTTTTTTGAATAAAAAAATTCATAAAGTAATTTCTCCAAAGAATTCAAAATAATAATAATAAAATGCCCCTCTTCCCAAAGGCTGCAAGTCTCTCTCATCACCTTCTGTGGTAACAAATTCATGGAAATCAAAGACAACAATTTCGTCAAGTTGCGGTAAGCATGGAACGGGTGGGGGTTAGGGTCGTTTTTTTTTTTGTCACCCGACTCGGCCTGAAAATATGTAAACTCCTCTCAAATTTGTTTTGACCCAAAAATTTTATATCATCCACTTAACTCAATCTAAAAAATCTATATTATCCATTCAACTTCAATCCGATGTTAATTTTTAGAGTATAAATCTGATCCGACCTAAATATAAGATAAAAATATATATGTTTTATCAAATTGTTTTGAGATATATTTTATTTTTTAACTAATTAAAATTTTGACATTAAATTCAAAATATTTAAATAAAAATGCATAAAAATATATTTTTTATTTATATATTTTTATTAAAATTTGTACACAAATAACTGAATATATATATATATATATATATATATTATCTTTTATTTTTTATTTCTTTGAAAATACATAAACATATGTATACCAATATAATTATGTGTTTAATTTTATGAATCAATATATTAAAAGATATAGATGCGTATACATGTGTAAGTAGGTGTTAATTGTTATTTTTTTTATTTTATTAATGCTACATATATGCTTGTATAACGAAATATCATATCAAACTATTTGATAAAATTAATTAGAAAACATTTTATAAAAATTAATCCAAAAATAAGCCCAATAAAAATACATATAAAAATAAAACTTAAATCAAAAAGCACACATAATAAATACTCGAAAGAAAATAAAAAATTAAGATTTTTTTACTTTTTATTATAAGCATCATATTATTTTTTTATAATAAATATTAGGCTTAAATACACTTGACCCCTAAACTATACCATTTGTACCGAGTTATCCACTAAATTATTTTTAGAAACACTTTATCTCCTCAACTATAAATCATTGTCCCGTTTATTCCAATCAACTATAAATCATTGTTCTATTTATTCCAAATCGTTAACACCGTTAAAAATAAAATTCACGGACTAATTAGAACAAACCTCGTCACTTATTAATTTTTATTTTCTTTATCTAAATAAATAAAAATAAAATAAACAATATTCCCAATATACCCCTCTTTTCTCCCACCTCCACTGTTAAACCCCTTCCCTTTCCCCCAACACCCTCTTTTTCTCTGTTCACTTTGTACCAGTCTCTTCTGCATCCATCTTTATAGAAAAATTGGATCAAAACCCAGAGAAATTTCTTTCAATGTTCTACAAAATACGAGGAAAAAGATGAAGAAAAACAAGAAAAAGAAAAGGATTATTCGCATGACAGGCAACGAGACAATGGGTTTTTGTCCATTTCCTTTCTCTTTGCACCATGTCATGATGGAAACTGAGTTAGGGTTGAAAAAGGGAGATTTGGGAATGAAATTGAATCGATTAGGGATTGTAGAGGATTTGAGAATTTGAAACGGGAAGAAGAGTGAAATTGGGAGGGTTGGAAGTAAAAAAAATGAAGAAGTTACTGTTGGGGCTAAAATAAATGAAGTAAAGGGGTTACCTGATGGAAATAACGGGCCAGGATGATTGGGCTTCGGTATTAATTCTTCTGGAATCAGCCTGCATGAGTCAGCATATCTATTTGTTATTTTTGTTAGATTTATAGTACATGCCAGCTGTAAGGTACTTGTGCATATATAATATTGTACTTGATTATATGGAATCATGCTTTATGAATGAATGACAAGTTTCTTCTAAATTCTTTTCTATTTCTCTTCTGAAATCTCCAAAATTCACCCATAATTCGTAACAAATTGGTATCAAAGCTAAGTTTTTATGATCCAAAACCATTTTTCACGCTGGGAAAGACAAGAAAAATGCATAAAACTGGAATCAGTGAGGTACCAGAACAAACCATGGAGGTGAAAGAGGATACTTTACCATCGTGGTGGACTGAGCAGAAAGCTGAGTTGGAAGGAAGAATACAAACCTTAAAGGAATGAATGACTGAAAACAGAGGGTATTTACAGAGGATCTTACAGCTAGTCAATCAAGCAGCTGAGGAGAAAGATTCACCTCAGTCAGTGAAGAGTCAACCCACAGCAGCTGAAAACAAAACAAAAATGGAGGTAAACAACCCTGCTTGATTATGGTTTTTAGTGAGCATGAGAAGTATACTTTTCAACCTAATGAATCGGGGATATTAGCTTCTAAACCTGTGGGGTTTACTAGTCCTATACCTTTTAATCAGAAAATGCAAGAAGAAAATATTATGGGCAATTCTAGTGAGGTGAAAGTAGACAGTAAGGGTTTGTTTGGGAGTTCAGGGCATATTTTACCTCGACCTAAATTAGAGCTACAGATGTTTGATGGCAGTAATCCCAGAGGATGGGTTAGAAAATGCCAAAAATATTTTAATCTTTTGGAGTTCTTGAGGAGCAAAAATTAGATATGGCTGCAAATGTATTTAATGAGAAAGGCTGAGACTTGATTTGATGGCTATATTATGTAGAAGCATAGAGTAACATGACATGAATTTGAGGCAGACTTGTGTCATAGGTTCTGTGATAGAAATTATTCAGACATTATTGAAGAGTTTAACAAGTTAATGCAGAAAGGAAGTGTGGAAGAATACCAAGAAAATTTTGAGGAGCTGAAACCTTATTTGCTACAATAGAATATGCATTTGGGGGAAGCTTATTTTGTTTCCAGCATTATTAGTGGCCTCAAGGAAGATCTTAAGCACAAGGTTAAGGTGTTAGAGCCTAAAACTCTATTTGATGCATATAAGCAGGCCAAACTTTATGAGTTGGCAAGTGAGATTGAGACAAAAAAAGTATAAAGTTCATACCAGAAATTTTGCTTACATACCTCAAAATACTCAGCCAAAGAACTTGAACTCTGGTGTGTTAACTAAAACAAGTTCCCTGAATAATAATGCTAAGCAAAGTTTGTTGGAGTACAGGAGATCTAATAATTTGTGCTTCAAATGTGGTGAGAAATTTTCCCCTGGACATCAATGCAAGGTCAGACAACTGAACTGCATGGAAGAAGAAGAAGAGTCTGCTGGAAATGAAAAGATTGAAGAAGAATCTGAAGAAAAAGAAGAAGCATAGAAGGAATCTCTGGAAATATCCATTAATGCCATTACAGGAAATGTGGGTCACACCACTTTGAGAGTATAAGGGTTTATCAAGGGAAAACCAGTGAATATACTGATAGACAGTAGAAGCACTCATAGTTTTGTAACTCCTAAATGGGCTAAGGAGGGAGTGGAGTTGGTAAATACTCCACCTTTAGTAATTACAGTAGCCAATGGAGAAAAATTGTACAACAATGCTAGGAGTAATAAGGTGAGCTGGAAATTGCAAGGATATGAATTCCAACATGATTTTAGAGTTCTGTCTTTAGGAGGCAGTGACATGGTGCTTGGTGTGGATTGGATGGAGGAATTCAATCTCATTTTGATGGACTTTAAGTCCAGGACTATCAGTTTTATTAAAGAAGGAAAAATTGTTGTTATTAAGGGAACTCAGAAATTACTCCTAATCAGAACCATCACAGGGGAGAAATTTCAAAAATTAACAGAAAATGATACTGAATTGAGTGGGGAAATTTTTTGGTTGAGTGCAGAAGTTACTGAAAGTAAAACTCCTACAGCACTTCAGAATTTACTAGCAGATTTCAGGAAATTTTTGAAAAACCTAAAGGAATACCTCCAAGAAGGAAACATGATCATGTTATTGTCCTAAAACAAGATACACAACCAGTAAATCTAAGGTCCTACAGGTTTACACACTCCCATAAGACTGAAGTAGAGAAACAGATTGCTGAAATGCTATCAGCTTCTATCATTCAAGTTAGTCAAAGCCCTTTTGCTTCTCCTTGTCTATTAATCAAGAAGAATGATAGAACTTGGAGATTCTGTGTAGATTACAGACAGCTTAATTCTGCTACCATCAAAAACAAATTCCTTATTCCTATAGTGGAGGATTTACTAGATGAACTTAATGGAGTTGCATTCTTCTCAAAAATTGATCTAAGGTCTGGATATTGGCAAATCAAAATCAAGGAAGAAGACATTTACAAGACTGCTTTCAGAACTCACCAAGGACATTATGAGTTTAAGGTAATGCCCTTTGGGCTTACTAATGCCCCAGTTGATGAATGATTTATTTGGTGAATATTTAAGAAAATTTGTTCTAGTGTTCTTTGATGATATTTTAGTTTACAGCTCTAACTTAACAGAACATGAACAACATTTAAGAATTGTTTTAAGGATTCTGCTGGAAAATAAGTTATATGCTAAAAGGAGTAAATGCTTCTTTGGTCAATAACAAGTAGGTCGCGTTTGGTTGGTATGAATCCCTTGGAATTAGGGGGGGAATTGGAATCTAATTCCACCACTTTCCCATGTTTGGTTCAAGTTTTCCAAAGGAATTGGAATCCTTCATGGCTTCAACTTTCCATTAAATGAGGGAAAGTGAATTCCATCCAAGAATAGATGGAATTCAATTCCCTTGTTGGAGGGAACTGAAATTTGACCATACTACCATCATCAATCTTTTGGTAACTTATTCATATATTGAATAAAAATATTTTTTTATTATTTCGGGTCGGGTTTTTAATTCATATATTCGGGTCGGGTGAAACTTTATTTTGGTCGGGTCAATTTTTTTAAGTGTGATATTCGGGTCGGGTCGAGTTCGGGTTTATGGTGAAAAATACCCGACCCGAAAATATATATAATTTTACCTTATATATTTAGGAATAATTATAATAATATCCCTCTATATATAATTTTTTTCAATTAAGTCACTGTTTTTATTGAATAAAAATAATTTTATTATTATTTTGGGTCGGGTCGGGTCAGATTTTTAATTCATATATTCGGGTTGGGTCGAGTCGAGTGAAATTTTATTTTGGTCGGGTCGATTTTTTTTAAGTGTGATATTCAAGTCGGGTCGGGTTCTGGTTTAGGGTGAAAAATACTCGACCCGACCCAAAAATATATATAATTTTACCTTATATATTTAGGAATAATTACAATAATATCCATATATATATATTTCCAATTAAGTCACTGTTTTTATTGAATAAAAATATTTTTTTATTATTTCGGGTCGGGTTTATAATTCATATATTAGGGTCGCATCGGGTGAAACTTTATTTTGGTCGGGTCGGGTCTCAGATAGAGGTTCCCTTGAACTCGGGTCGGGTCGGGTGGACCAAAAACTCAACCCGACCCATGGGCCATCCCTAATTGGGATGATTTTAACTTATGATGTTTATTAGCATGATTTTTATAATTTATTGAAATGAATAATCAATTAATAAAATTAAAATTTAATTTTTTTTTAATTTTTATAATATATTGCTACATGTAATTTATAAAACAAACTAAAATTAAGCAAAAAAAACAAGAAAAACAATCCTGTCATTTTATATTACTGAAATCAAATGCATTTGACATGTTTGCGAACCAAACAGAATATGAAATTGGATTCCAATTCAATTTCCTGCCAACCAAACAGAATATGAAATTGGATTCCAATTCCTGACAGATTCCAATTCCTTCACAGATTCCAATTCCCTCAGAAACATTCCAACGAACCAAAAGCCACCGTAAAGTATTTGAGGCATCTGATTTCAGCACAGGGAGTGGCTACTGATCCTGCTAAGATTAGAGCTATGCAAAATTGGCCTTTACCTAAGAATTTGAAAGCTTTGAGAGGGTTCTTAGGTTTGACAGGTTACTATAGAAAGTTCATTAAAGGATATGGAGAACTGAGCAAACCTTTGACTAATATGCTCAAGAAAGAAGGCTTTTATTGGACTCAGGAAGAATTGGTAGCATTTGAGAAACTGAAACAAGTTATGTGTAAAGCACCAGTGCTGGCTTTACTTAATTTTGAGCATAATTTTTTTTGGAAACAGATGCTAACTCAAAAGGCATTGGAGCAGTACTGTCTCAAGATGGAAGGCATATAGCTTATCTTATTAAGGCTCTTGGACCAAACATGCAGACCTATCAATTTATGAAAAGGAATATCTAGCAATTTTAATGGCAGTTTCCCACTGGAGACACTATTTAGAAAGTGGACCATTTGTTATCAAGACAGATTATGAGCCCCTCAAACATTTACTGGAGCAAAAACTAACTACAGCAATTCAGAAAAAGGGACTTACTTAGTTGTTGGGACTGGATTATACAATACAGTATAGAAAAGGCAAGCATAATAAAGTGGCAGATGCTCTTTCTAGATAACAAGTAGATTCTGGAGAATTTTTACAAATGGGCTAACAATTATTACTCCTACTTGGATTTAGGACATTCAACAGAGTTATGAGGAGGATGAAATTGCACATAAGAAACTACCTATTTTGGTTCTTCAATCAGATGCTATAGAAGACTGGAAGTTAGTTCAAGGGGTTCTGTATTTTAAATATAAAGTATATGTGGGCAGCAAAGGGGATCTAAGAGAAACGATTATTCTGGCTTTACATGATTCAACATTAGGAGGACATTCAGACATTCAAGCTACATATCAAATAATCATGTCCTATTTTTTCTGGCCTAGAATGAAAACTATGATACAACATGTGCAAGAATGTGAAGTTTGTCAACGGACGAAAATTGAACACATTGCTAAACCAAGTTTGTTACAGCCTATTCCAATCCCAAACAATGCTTGTGGAGTCATTACCATGGATTTTATTGAAGGTTTACCAGCTTCTATGAAACACACATGCATCCTAGTGGTGATTGATAAGTTTACAAAGTATGCTCATTTCTTACCCTTATCTCACCCATTTACAGTGGTAGAAGTTGTCAGATTATACTTAGACCAAGTTTACAAATTACATGGTCCCCCTAAGGTTGCTATCTCAGATAGAGACAATTTTCACCAGTCTATTTTGGCAGGAGTTATTGAAACAATTGGGAACGACTACATTCTTTAGCATTGCTTATCATCCTGAAACGGATGGACAAACTGAAAGGCTCAATCAATGCTTAGAACAGTACCTTAGATGTATGTGTTTGCTTAAACCATCATCATGGTCAAAATTCTTAGCTCAAGCAGAGTAGTGGTACAATACTAATTTCCACACTGCTTTGAGAGGCACTATATAGATATAAACCTCCTAATTTGAGTTGGTCAGACAAGTCTAAGGTAGGGGCAGTTCAGGACATGATGCAGCAGCGTGTTTAGTTAAATACATTGCTACGAGAACAACTACTAAAAGCTAGCAATCATATGAAACAGATAGCAGATCATAATCGCACTGATAGAGAATTTCATGTGGGAGACGAGGTTTACCTGAAGCTTCAGCCTTATTGACAGACATCACTTTCTCTGAGAAAAAATCTGAAACTTGCTGCCATATACTTTGGCCCCTACAAAATTCAGCAAAGAATTGGTAAGGTAGCTTACAGATTACAGTTACCGTCCAATTCGAAATTACATCATGTGTTTCATATCAGTTTACTCAAAAATAAAGTAGGGCACGACAGAGTACCTTCCATCGATCTTTCTGCTCTCACGACTGATGGCCAGATGAAAGTTTACCCAACAATAGTCTTGAATAAAAGGATGATTAAACGTCAAAATAGAGCAGTTACCCAATTGTTGATTAAATGGACGAATATAGGACCAGCTGAGGCAATGTAGGAAGATTATACGGTATTAAAGGCTTAGTTTCTCGATTTTGATCCTTGAGGACAAGGATCCTCTGATAGAGGGGGTATTGTCATGATGGAAACTGAGTTAGGGTTGAAAAAGGGAGATTTGGGAATGAAATTGAATCGATTAGGGATTACAGAGGATTTGGGAATTTGGAACGGGAAGAAAAGTGAAATTGGGAGGGTTGGAAGTAAAAAAAATGAAGAAGTTACTGTTGGGGCTAAAGTGAATGAAGTAAAAGGGTTACCTTATGGAAATAACGGGCCAGGATTATTGAGCTTCGGTATTAATTCTTCTGGAATCAGCCTGCATGAGTCAACATATCTATTTGTTATTTTTGTTAGATTTATAGTACATGCCAACTGTAAGGTGCTTGTACATATATAATATTGGACCTGATTCTATGGAATCATGCTTTATGAATGAATGACAAGTTTCTTCTAAATTCTTTTCTATTTCTCTTCTGAAATCTCCAAAATTCACCCCTAATTCGTAACACACCCAAAGCCTCACCTTCATTGATTTTGTTTTCCAATTCACGGCTGAAATTCTCTTTCCTTTTTTGTTCCAGCATCACTGAAAGCAAGGTCCCGGTATAAAAACTAACCAATTTAGAACATACCTCATCTCTGTCCCAAAATTTTAACAATTTTGAATGGATGCTAAACTCATAAACCATCTACATCAATGTTAATGTTTGATCACCGGGAATCAATAAATGTCCAGCTACAAAAAGAAGGAATTAAAAGGTACCTTTGTAACTCTTGAAGGCATTGTTTACACTCCACTCCATTTTTCTTCCAGTTCTATCCTAAAAAAAAAACTGAAATAAGTGCAGCACATCGGTTAACATAAAGCGCTTAAAGTTCAAGAAAATAAAGCTTACCTCAAAAGTCATAAGCAGTGCTAAGACTAGCTGAAATTCAGCTTAACTTGATGCCCAAACCTAAAATTAAAACCCGAAAAAACAAAAGTAACTTATTTAAGCTCATCTAAAATAATGGGTTAGAAAGAAAAAATAAGTTTGGGTTAGAAAGTAACTTTTATCACAATGAATCTGGGTTATTGTTCTTCACTTAGCTCATGTAAGCTTTGAAATTTTGCAGAAATTAGAGGTGGAAGAAGTAGAAGAAGAGAAGTCGAAGGCAAAGAGGAAAAGGAGGAAGAAATTGGAGGAAAAGAAAATTTACCTTCAATTTCCATTTTACATTGCTCACTTCTCGTTTTCAATGTTTAGGTGCTTATCCTCACTTCCATTTTACATTCCAGAGCAATGCCAGAACCAAAAAAATTACGGTGGAGATTTTGGGGGTGGGTTGGGGAAGATAAAGAGAGCGTTTGACAAGCAGTCAAATTTGAGGAGTTCTAGTTTATTTTAGCATAAATAATTTATTAATAGTCAAATATTTTATTTATAGTTAAATATTTTATTTTTAGTGTTTAGTAAATATTTTTTTAAAGAATTTATTATACAAAATAAATTAAAATTAAAAATATAAAAAATTCAACGATTTAAAATAGCTGATTGTAAAGAAGATATTAAATGACATATTTAATTTTATTTCTTTTATAATTATATCTTTACCATAAAATTTAATATAATGAAGTAGCATTCATCCTAATATAATTAAGTTAAAATTTTATTTTATTATTCTATTTTTTAGTTGTAGAATTTCAAATATATTTTAGTTAAGAAAATATAGCAAAACATGAAAGTAAAAAAAGGTAGTGTTGATATTTTATACAAAGTTAATAGTATGTATCAATATCACAAGGTTAATATTTGTAAATATTAAATTTAAAAAATATATTCAAAATTTTTAAAAACTATTTACTAATTTTCTTAAGGAATTTTTAATTCATTGTCAAAAGTATTTTATTTGAATAAGTTCACTCTAATAAAAACTAAAGTATTATAAAATGTATATGTACTTAACAACTAATATATACCATATCTTATTTGCCATTTTACCCATATAAGCTATCAACTAAATTTTACCAAACACTTCTATATAAACAGTTAATCGAATCAGTTTCTCAAATTAGCTAATTAAATCAGTTGGTCAAACTAGCTACTGTAATCAGCTATCAGCTAATCAAATTAGTTGGTCAAACACTCCCAAAATAAAAACTAATAGGTGACGTGGAGTATTCTGATTGGGCCGTTAATTTTTTTAACGGTGTTAACGATTTAGGGAAAACGGGATAATGGTTTGTAGTTAAGGGGACAAAACATCCAAAAAAAAATATGTTGGGGGCAATTAGGTACAAATGGTATAGTTCATGGGGTAAAGGTGCATTTAAGCCTAAATATTAAAATTTTTAATTAAGCTAAGGTGATCATAAAATAATATTTGTTATAAATACTCTCAACCATTTGACAATGAGTGCTCAATCGACCTGCTACAGTCTTTGGTGCTCGAACCTATAACTTTTAAGAACAACAACGATTCTTTTAACTACCGATATAAATAAATTCGTGCAAATATTAAAAATTTAGAATCACAATAAAAAATAGGGTAAAGTATAGTAATGGTCATTGAACATTTCTGAAGCTTGCATTTAGGTCCCTCAACTTTTAAAACTTGCAATACAATCTCCCAATATTTAATCCACTTACAATATGGTCCGCACATCTATGAAAATTAGGGTAAATTATATAAATGGTCACTGAACTTTTCAGGCACTTGAATTTAGGCCCCCTAACTTTTTAAAACTTACAAAACATTCCTCAATTTCATTCTAAACCCCAAATTCCAAAGTAATTCAATTTCATTCTAAACCCTAAATTCCAAAATAATTCAATTACATTCTAAAACCCAAATTCTAAAATATTTCAATTTAAGGAGGAATATACTAGATTATCTTTAAGAACGTGATAGCGTTTTGATTTTTTTACTTTTGTGAAGAAAAAAATAAACTCCCTCATCATAAATGTAAATTTAGTGACCTTCAATAATTTAAATATAAAAAATGATTATGGAAGAAATTGAATAAAAAAACACAATCTCTCAATCAAAAAAATTAAGAATCAAAATCTCCAATTGACATCCTTATAATTTTTATTTATTTCAATTATAATTTAATTTTTTAATAGTTTGATGTGATTATAAGATATTATTTATTCAAATTTTTTAATTTTTTAATAATATAGATATACCCTACAAACACAATTGTTTGAATTTAAAACTTTTAAAGAAAATAACATTTTTTACCTATAAAACCAATTAAAGAGTTATAATATAATTTTGTTAAGTGTATTAGAAAATTAAAAAATAGATCGTGCTAGAACTAAAAGAATATGTGACCATGAAATAGAAAGTTTACGTACGTTATGAAAACATGGCACAAACCCCATCTCTTTTGAGTTGATTATTATCATCAACTTAGGGTATATTATATTAAATTATTGATTTTTTTAATTTTATTTTTGAAGTAGTCAACTTCAGTGTTTATTTTTTATTGTGTTTTTTATGATTTTATTAAATAATTTTTCTACAAAAAATATTCGATGTAATAAGTAAATAAATATTTAATTATCATGGTAATATTTATATTTTAATTATAATAGAAATAATATAAAAATAAAATATATTTATACATCATTACTATAATTAACATAACTCATATATAAAATTTTGACTATGCTATTTATGTAGTCTTAATATTTATATGAAAGATATAAAATATATTAACACATATGATTAGATATAAAAACATACACAAATAATTAGAAATATATTTATTTTTAAATAAATGAATTATTATCATATATTCTTACTATTGAAAAATTTTCATGTCTTTAAATTAATATTAAAAAATATCATATGTTTTTAAATATAAAAAGTAAATTAATTAATAATTTAGTGACATTGGCGTCGTTTATAAAAAAGGCAGAAATTGAAGTATTTTAGAATTTGGGTTTTAGAATGTAATTGAATTATTTTAGAATTTAGGGTTTAGAATGAAATTGAATTACTTTGGAATTTGTGGTTTAGAATGAAATTGAGGATTGTTTTGTAAGTTTTAAAAGTTGAGGGGCCTAAATTCAAGTACCTAAAAAGTTTAGTGACCATTTATATAATTTACCCTAATTTTCATAGGTGCGGGGACCATATTGCAAATGGATTAAATGTTAGGGGACTATATTGCAAGTTTTAAAAGTTGAAGGACCTAAATACAAACTTCAGAAATATTCAGTGACCATTACTATACTTTACCTTAAAAAATAAAATAGATTTATACTAATGTAACTATAAACAAGGGGAATGATCATTTTGCAATAGTCATTATTTTAAGGACACTCTTATCATAAAGGGGCGAATATTTAATACCTAAGATAACAAAGGACAATACATTTCCATAAATACAATAAAGAAAAGCTACTGTAGGTAATACTTATAATTTTTAGAGAAAATGCTCTTAAATCAAATGTGAGTGTGATTTCGGAAAAAATATATTCTCCTTTATAATAATTTTTTATTATCAAACGCCCCTAATTAGGATTAAAAAGTGAAATCATTAGGGTATGCAATTAAAAAAAAGAGAAAATCGTCTTAGTGACCAAAATTCCTATATAATATACGATTTTAACCAACTTTTTTCGGATTTGCCAAAATGACCAACAAAATCGCAATGCGATCGCTAATTCGCAACGCAATCTCCATTATCGCAAATTCGCGTTGCATTTCGCGTTGCGATAGTTGAAAATCTCGTTACGATGGTCTACAGTGTCGTTGCGATTTTCCCAATTCGCAATGCGAATAAGTAAATCGCAACGCGAATTGGGAAAATCGCAATGCGATACTGACTATCGCAATGCGATACTGACTATCGCAATGCGATACTTACTATCGCAATGCGATAATACAAAATCGCAACGAGATATTGACTTTCGCAACGCGATTCTGACTTTCGCAACGCGATAATACATAATCGCAATGCGATTTTCAAAGCGCCATTAGTATCCTGGCCAAGTATTTTATTTTTAAATTCCAAACACGAATATTAATATATTGGAACACTGAACCGTCCACAGTATATCCCGTAATCGCAACTCATAACCTAAAAACTAAAATCACAACTCAGTCCCATCTCCATCTCTCACTCTCTCACCCATCTCCGACGAAATCCATCCCCATCTCCGGCGAAATCCGTCTATCTCCATCTCTCAGAGCCACCCTCACAATCAGAAATGGAAAATCAACCAAATCAACCAACGAGGGTTAGTTTTTTTAATTATTTTCTTTTTGAAATTTTTGCATTATTATTAGGTTTATCATATTGAAATTGATGATAAGTTTACTGGTAATTTCAATAATAGATTAACCATTTCACTTAGATTTCTTATTAAATCAACCGAGAATCGCAACGCGAAATGCAAATCGCAACGCGATTTTAGTTTCGCGTTGCGATTCTCGTTGCGATAGTCAAATTCGTGTTGCGATAGTCATTTTCGTGTTGCGATTTTCATTTTCAGAAACTATTCTTCTTCTGCAAATTGAAACTTGAATGAATTGCATTACTTCAACCAAAAAACAAAGACAAATACGAAATTCACAGTGTTGCAAATTTAAGTTTGAAGAATAAACTACTACTCTTTATGTTTATTATTGTTTTTGGTATATCTTCACAGTGTAGTTTTTGGTATATCTAACTTAGTATGTTTATTGTTTTTGTAGAACTTTTATTCGGCTCAATTGACCTTAAGAAATAAAGTCAGCCTGGCCAAAACAATTGCGTCGAAGCTTTTACCTGCACAAAGAAAAATGTTTGAGGATACATGCTTCGGGCCATGGCTGAAAGTACAACATCCCGGTGGAGATGCGATGTTGACACACCTGTTTCTTCAAACCATGACTAGCGATCTACCAGAGACTATACAACGTCGTGATGAAGAGATATGGTTTGATTTTCCACCGGCGTATATGTGTTTTGGGCGGGAGGAGTTTTGCTTAATCACCGGTCTACGCTTCGTACACGATGATGTAGGTCGGTACACTAGACACATTACCCGCCCATCATGGCTATCCCGGGTTTTTCTTGAGCTGGAGAGGCCGAATCTACACGTAGAAGACCTGACAAGATTGTTGAATAAGAAAGATGGTTTTACTCGGATGGATGACATCGACGTTGTCCGAGTATGCCTTCTAATTCTTTTGCATGCCGGTTTTTTAGGCAGAGAGGCCAGACAACCTATTCCAAATGATCTAATCAAATTGGTAGAAGACCTAAATGCGTGGAACCTGTTTCCGTGCGGCTCGTATTTATGGAAAACTACATGGAATAAGTTATCGTCTGCCTTGGATGATCGAAAAAGTTTGCATGGC